GGTGATGATGGCAGGCACGATCCGCCCGGCAATCCGCTTGCTCTGAGGACAGGAGGGGTGTTACCAGCTGCCCCACACAGGAAAGAGAACCCCAACCCCACGGGCTGCCCCTCACTGTCAGCCAGTCAGCAGGGGGGATGCCGTAGTTCTCTGCGCGCAGGTTGGACGCTGCCATGATGAAGTCCACGTGGACATTGTTGTCCTGCAGGGAAGAGCATGAGGACATCAGTGTCCTGCAGGGACATCAGTGTCCTGTAGGGACAGGCAGCTATCAGCCTCCCAAGCTGAACAGGGATGCCTGCCCAGACCTGGGTACCTTCTCGAAGTGGATGGGCTCCATCAGGGGCACGTGCGCCTCCTCACCCCCTGCCAGCTCCTGTCTCCACTGCACCAGGTCCTGGGTGAGTTCCACCAGCCGCCCATGGTCTGAGGGCACAGGGACCCCTGTAGTGGTATCCCTGCACCGTGACACTGCGAGGGCGTGGTACAGTGCCCCCCCCCCCACCTTGGTCTGGGTCCTTCTGGGTGCTGGGGCAGGGATGACCAGCACTGCAGCCCCACCACCACCAGGCTGGACGTGGGGACCCAGGGACATGTCCCGGGGGACCCAGGGGCAGGGGGGAGCCTCACCCTCAGGCACCTGTGCTGTCTCCTGCTCCTCTGTGAGGGGGATCTGGAGCCCCTCCTGGGGCACGAAGGGTGGCAGGACCACGCTGCGGAGGATGGTCTGGGTGGCCACCCTGTCACTGCATGGTGGCACCTTGTGTGCCTGGGCAAAGAGGTGGGCAGCGGCCAGGATGTACTCCAGGTGGGTATCCTGGGGGCAAAGCAGGGGCCATGGGGCGCCTTGAAGGGGTGGTCCGCAAGCCCACATGGCTAAAGTCTGCCTGCACTGCCACGAGCAGGCAGAGCAGCCTGACTTTGCCGCAAGGCGGAGGTGCCTCTCCTCAGGCCAGAGCACACGTGGGCTGTCCCCAGCAGTGCCCTGGCTGACCGGGGGGACAGGGACAGACCCAGCCCAGGACTTTGCAGGCCCAGACAGGCTGTGGCAGATGGAACATGACTATGGTCTGGCATCCACCATACCCCCGGCACAGGCTCAGCTCTCCTCCTGCCCGCACTGTCCCCGGTGGGGTACATCACAGCTCTCCCCTGTGCTCACCTTGTCAGGGTTGAATGTCAGTGGATGGGGACAGCTCCTGCTCCCTGACCAGAAGGGGACACCCAGGCTGGTTTCCTGGCACAGGGAAAGCAGAGTCAGGCCCAGGGATGTGTCCCCCCAGCTGCAGTGGGCTGGCTGGTGGAAGGGAGAGGGTGCGGGGGGTGCCAGCCCCATGGGTGCTGGGCTCACGTGCTCCGGGGGGAAGGTGTGCAGCAGCTGGACGATGGCATCGTGGTAGGAGCTCTGCCAGTGCCGGCGAGCCCAGAGCACACAGTCCTGCCAGTCCCGTGGCCGCTCCTGCAGACTCCCCTGCACTTGCTCCAGGACCTCCAGGGCCTTCCCTGCTGGCAGCTGCTCCAGAAAAAATGGGTCTCTGCAAAACCAGGTGACGCTGCTGCTGGACCAGGAATAACCCAATGGGAACACACCGGGTGGGATATGGCAGTCTGTCCCCCTCTCCCCAACCCTGGTGGTGGTGGGCAGCGCCCTGGCAGGGCTGGCAGCCCCTCTCCCGGTGCCGCTTCCCCAAGCCCACTCACTCCATGAACCGGTTGACGTGGTCCGCAGGCACCTGGAAGAGCCCCTCAAACTCATCACGGGCCCACTGTGGAGGGGGAGCAGGGGTTGAGCACTCGGAACCCTGCTTTGCGAGTGCTGGCACCCTCAGCCCAAGTCCAGGGGAGAGGGCTGTGCTGCAGCTGGTGGCAGAGCTTGGGCTGCCAGCAGGAAGCAGCTGGGGCCATATCCTGCCTGCAGCCGCTGCCGGGCCACTGCCAGAGAGGGAAATGGGAAAGGAAGACAAAAGTCCCGGTGCCTCCTTGCTGGGTGCTGGGGCCAGCACAGTGCAGCCTACCTGCAGCGTGTGGTGGATGGTGCAGGGGAAGTACCGCAGGGTGCAGAGGGGGAAGGTGCCATCCCCAGGGGCGCCGGCCGGCTCCAGCGGTTTGGTCAGGAGGGGCACCATGGCCAACACATTCCCCCGTGGCCCCTCCGTGCCCAAGTCCAGCAGCGACGTGAGGCAGCGGAGGCAGCGGCTCTCCAAATAGGCACCTGCAGGGAGCCAGGAGTGCTGGGGAGCCAGGGGGCACATCTGAGGGCTCGTCCCCTTTCCCCTCCCTGGCACTCACGGGCCTCCAGCGTGTCCAGGGCGCTGGCAACGCCATCCAGGCGCCGGAAGAAGTCATTCCCATAGAGTGTCTCGGTGGCAGGTCCGACCTGGTTCTGGTGAGCTGTCACTCTGACATTGGGGTTCATGCGCTGCACAGCTGCTGCGGCCACCACCGACTTTGGCTTCTGTCAGGGCAGAGAGGGGGTGGGCAGCTCTTCCCCACCCCACAGCCCCAGGGAGCCCCTAGGACAGCCAAGGTGCCCTTTGGGGAAAGCTTGGCTCCTGCCTTGTGGTGCCTCACCGATATATCTGCTGAGCGGTAAAGGAACTGCCGATGGAGGTTGGAGAGGGCGACGGTGTCCGTGTCAGTGACGGTGAGCTCCCCATCTGGCCCTGCTGCCAGCCCCATCATGGCAAAGTTTTTCAGCAACTCGCAGCCGATAGCGCCAGCTCCCACCTGCTGGGGCAGAGTCACTGCACCTCCCTGTGCGCTGGCTGTGCACCCCGCG